AAAAAAAATATTTTCTTGTAGTTTGGTGTAAAACAAAATAAAAGCTTTAACCTCCAGTTAATAGGGAGTATGATTTGTGAGGATAAACACTTGTTTAATTAGAACAAATGAAAAATCATCTTTAGATTTACTCATCTAAAGGAGTGAGCCAAAATAAAAATGTTTGGATTAATTCCAAAGTGGAGGTTATTTATAGACCCTTACCATCCCTCAAGAGCGCATTTCCAGTGTGGGGCAAATCTGAAACGATAAGATATTTGGCTTGTACACAAGATCCCATATGTGTTTCTTAGCAGCCAGTTAATTCATTAAGGCCAATTTTTAACGTCCAAGCATTACCAGCACGTCCAAGCATTACCAGTTTGAGCAGGTGATACGAGGGTTTCACTAGCTGTCAGTTTTGTACGTTTCAGTTGGATGCCCGTGGGAAATATAATTCTGATTGTTTCGTCCTATATTATAGAACACCGTGAGACTTTGGTTTCGTGTTTATCTCATGCCAGCTGTTACATGTCATTTGGAATCCTTCCAAACGCCTATAGCATTATCTTGAAGGGGGGCTGGGTGTGCCTATGTTCCACTGCATCTATAAAACCCCTCTGTTTGCAGCGAACGCGGCATTGAACTTGAAAAAAAAAAAAAGTCCAGAGGAAAGATGAGTCTTTCTGCTAAGGACAAGGAGATAGTCAAGGCCTTTTGGGCTAAAGTGTCGGGAAGGGCGGATAACATTGGCGGTGACGCTGTTGCCAGGTAAATAAGAAAAAAAACCGAGGCGAATTTAACTCGCTTCTGCATTTTTATCTATTACTTACTGGCTTACTCACCTGTGTTTTTGCCCAGGATGCTGACAGTGTACCCTCAGACCAAGACTTACTTCTCCCACTGGAAGGACCTGAGCCCCAGCTCTGCCTCAGTGAGGAAACACGGAGGAATGGTGGCAGCTACAATAACCGATTCTGTGAACAAAATCGACAACCTGGCAGGGAGTCTTCTTACCCTCAGTGACCTGCATGCTTTCACTCTGCGAGTGGACCCTGCAAACTTCAAGGTATTTGTTTATTAAATCATGAAAGCGGTTCAGAAAACCTCTGGGTTTGCTTTAAAGATTAATTGGACTACAAATTAAACGCTTGCTTAAACATTTTTTAGTAGTTTTTATTTAAATGTGCCTCCATAGGCTACTGGTTGAGACTGCATCAGTTCTAGTGAGGAACTGTAACGTCATCATTAATTATTCTTTGATTTAGAAGCCTATAAATCTGCCCCATCCACACATGGATAAGGCCATATGCAAATATAAATAAATTATAAGTTGAACCCCAATTCGTGACATCGAGCTACAGTTATCTTTAGGATAAATGAAATGTGTGTTTCAGCTGCTGCAGCGCAAAAATGTTACACTTTTAAACAAACAGGGAAGTTGCCTCAGTGTTGTCAGCAAGTCAAAGCACGACTCTGTCACCGAAGAAACACGGGATAGACTGAGTTATGATTCAGATCAGTAGCGGTTTTAGATACGGGCGACACGGGCGGTTGCCCGTGGTGGGGGGCGGCATCACGGGCATCAGTAAAAAAAATTGCTTGTACTCATGCTGCCCCGACATCATGCGAGCCCATATTGGGAATGGCATAGGCACCGATCGGTTTTCTATCGCCCATGGGAGTAAGGGCGCGAGCTGCGCCTGCTGCTTGCGGCACAGGGAGGAGAGGGCGGGGCGACGGGGGATTCTCTGGCTGGCTGGAGCAGCAAAAATTACCAACTCTCAAAATAAAACAAA